AACATTGTTTTCTTCTATTAGATTTTGTACCTCCTTTTCCATTTGACCCATTTTACTTTTTAAGGAGTTCTCCTCAGTGAGTTTTTGTGCCTTCTTTTCTGTTTGGCCAATTCTGCTTTTTAAGGAGTTGTTTTCTTCAGTGTACTTTATTTCCAGTTGGCCAATTATATTTTTTAAGTACTTGTTTTCTACAGTTAATTTTTGTCCTTCCTTTTCCAAGCTATTTACTCTCTCTTGCATACCTCTCATTTCTTTTCCCAATTTTTCTTCTACCTCTCTTATTTGACTTTTAAAATCCTTCTTGAGCTCTTCCAAGAAGGCTTTTTGGGCTTCAGACCGGTTCATATTCCCTTTTGAGGTTTCGGATGTGGGTTTGTTGACAATGTTGTCCTCTTCTGAATTTCTGCCTTTGATCTTCCCTGTCCCCATAATAAGAATCTATGGTCATTGTATATATCTTTTTGCTCATAGTGTTTGCTTATTTCCTGACCTTATAAAAAAAAAAATTGAGGTCTTCTGCTGGGGAGCAGGGGGCACTGACCCAAGCGTCTTGTGCTAGGAGCTGGGGCCTGGTCACTGGTTTTGTGTGCTGGGGCCTCAGATGCTGGCAGTTGGAGGCTGTAGGGTTCTGGCAGCTTACCTGGTGTTGGACTGCAATCAGGAACACTGGAACTCTAGGGATAGGAGTGGGAAGCCTGGCCCCTCGAAGATGCCTGCTCACTCCTTTTTTTGGCTCCAGCTCACCGAGGTCTTGCACTCCTTGGATCCTGCTCACCTGAGCCTTGTAGATGAATGTTTCACTGCTGCAGGATGTTTCTCCACCTGGAGCTTTCCCTCTTGGAGTTGTGCTTCCCAACATTTTGCTGAGGCACCAGGAGGCTTGGTTCCCGGAGAGTGCCATGGCACATTGTAGTTTTTCTAAGCCAGTTTCTGCTGGTTCCCCTGCTTATACTGAGGCACTTGGGGATCCTAGTGGGATTGCCTGCTCCACCACTCTAGGGTTCAAGATCTCCCCCTTGTATGCTGAGGTGGGGCTTTCTGCTAGCTTGCTGAGATTTCTCCCATTTCTGTACTGCTCCCCCTTTCCCAGAGCGAAAGTGGCCTTTCACATTAATCCCCCAAGCTTCCCAGGCTACCAAACTGCTGCACTCTGTCTTTCTGCTGGTTCAGCTGTTCTAGGGTATTTTCTGGGCTTTCAGAGGTTAATAAGGGAGGGTAAGAGCAAATTACTTCTTGTTCTACCATCTTGACTCCCGGAAGCAGAACTCTGGATTCAGTTATTTCCATGTAGATGATTCTCATATCTGTATTTAGCCCTGATTTCTTCTTGAACTCCGTTCTTGAAAACATAAAATGCCTATTGGATACCTCAAAGTTAATTAACATGTTCATTAACCCTCTCTTCTCTCAAACTTCCCTATTACTGTTGAGGGTACTCCCAGGCACTGGGTTCAGTGTTATCTTCAGTCCTCCCATGATTTCACCCCAAATACCCAAATGCCAATGCCAAGACTTGTCATTTTTTCTGCCTTCACAACACCTTATATGCTCTCTTTTCTTCACTTGCATAGTCAACACCCTGGGACGGGCTCTCCTCACTTCACACCTTGATTATTTCAGTAGCCTTCTGATTGTCTTCCTTGACTTTTCCACTACTCCAGTGCATCTGATGCTCAGCTGTCAAAGTGATCTTAAAGCGTAGATTTGACTATTTTATCCCCTACCCTTACTGAATAATAAATTCTAGGGTGTCCTCATTACCTCAGTTATAAAACGTACAATCTTTTGTCGTTATCTGGCCTTTTCTTACCTTACCAGTGTTCTTGATGCTTGAGTCCACGTTCAGAGATACTGGCCTCCGTGCTGTTTCTTGCACATGACACCTTATCTCCTGATGCTTTGTTTTCTAACTGGCTTGCCTTTATGTCTGGGATGCTCTTCCTCCCCACATCTCTGTATTAGCTTCCTTCAAGATTCATGTCAAATCCTACCATTTTCAAGTGGTTCTTTTCCATTTCCTCCTGCCTCCCTCTGGTAGTACCTTCTCTTTCAAGTTCACCTCCCATTTACATTTTATATATCTTGTATGTACACAGTTTTTTGTTGTTGTTGTTGTTGTTGCTGTTGTTGTTGCTGTTGCTGTTGCTGTTGCCTGTAATCTCTCTCATTAGAAAGTGGGCTCCTTGAAAGTGGAACTGTGTTTTTGTCTTTCTTTGTATCCTCAGTACTTAACAGAAACCAGAATATAGTAAATGCTTATTAAGTGCTTGTCAATTTACTGACTTTGCTATCAGGTTCTAAAAGATATTAAGCAGTTGTAATTCATGGTTTCTTAAAACATACTGTCCAGACTTAAAAAAAAAATTATGGTTTTTCATCGAGTTCATTGATTCTTAAATTATCTCTCATCGACCTGTTTTCTGTCAGATTTTTTTAATATCAGATATTTAACATTTTCCATTTTTCCAGTCTTGAGTTTGTTCTAATATTTCTTGATGCCTTATGAAGTCATTGGTTTCTTTTTGATATTTACTGATTTTCAGGGAGTCTGTTACTTGGGTAAGTTTTACCATTTTCTCTTCTATGCTGTTTATTCTCCTTCCAATTCTTTCCTATGTAGCTTTTATTTCATATTTTATCTCTTGCTTCATTTTTTTCTAGGTATTCATGTAGTCCTTATGGAAAATCCATTTTTTCCTTTGAGTCCCTGCTTGCAGTTGTTATGGAGTTATTCACTCCTAGGTTGGGTCTTTGGGCATCTTTGGATCTACAATAATTCTTTATAGAGGTCGGTGTCTTCTTTTGTTTACTCATCTCTCTGGTCTTAGTTCCTGAATTGCGGCTTTGTGCCAGGGCTAGGAACAGCCCCTTGATGCATTCAGCCCTATTTCATCTTGCCCTGGGTTCCTCTACTGACCTCTACCTCCTAGGTTGAGGGTCCCTCCCTGCTTTGAGGTTCATATTGTTGGGCATTCAGAAACCTCTATGTTATCTCATAACAAAATTCTAGGGACCTTTGAACCTTGGGGTGTTCTCATTTGAGTGTTGCCTTGGTGGCCCTGGTCGGTACCATAGCTGCATTTCTCTATTGGCTCTGGTAGTTTCCAAGGACCCTTGTTGTCGATTCCCACCACTCTGGGGCTTTCTGGAAGTGCCCTTTATTCTTTCTGTCTCTAGACATAGATTAGTCCTTCTTTGATTGCACTAGCAGGCTTCCAACTTGTTTGCCTGTGCTGGTATTATTAGTCTTGCTGGCACCCTTCCTTCCTATTTTGTGTTGGCTTCTGGCTGGATTTTTATGCAGTTTTGAGATAAAAGAAATCCTTTTAGTTCCTCATTGAATTTCTTAATTGTCATTTAACCTTGTGCTAATTTTTAGGATTTTGTTAGGGGAGCTGATCAGCTTGCTTCCTTTCTTGTTGGCCAGAAGTACCCATTAACCCACTTTAAAAATACAAACACAATATAGAATTGAACCCAAAATATGATTTAGTTAATATATTAACACAATACATAATTAATTATATATAATTAATATAATTTTCTATCATTTGTTTAAGAGCTAATATAATTATTTTTAACAAAATAGCAATAAGAATTTTTTGCTCCCATTTCCCATGCAACTTCTTTTATGTCTGTATTTATAAAGTGTGTGTGTGTGTGTATGTATTATGTGTTTGTTCTGCATATATTCTAGTTCTTTGAGGATTGATTTACTTCACTTTACATAACTATTATTGATACTCATTTTTAATTTCATTTTTCTTAATTACATTGACATATAAAATCCAGTTTTATTAATTTCAAGTCCAGTCATTGAACATGTAAGATAGTCTCATTTTTGGTATTATAAAGTAGCTATGGATGTTTGTATATATAGATATTTTATTGTGATTCTTGGGTTGCAGGGTATCATCAGTTTTGTAACTGTATGGCTAGATTGCTTTCCACAAGGCTAAAACCAATTTATACTATCAACAGGAATGTTTAAGACCGAGTTCTCCTACATCCTTTCTAATATTGAATCTCATTCCTTTTTATCTGGTTGTACCAACTTGATGGTTATAACGTAGTATTATAAAGTCATTTTATGTTTCTTCAGATTATTAAGAAGTTTGTACAACTTTTGGGGTGTGTTTATTAGTAGTTTGCATTTTATTCTATGAAAATTGCTCACATATTTTGGTCATTTCTATTTAGAAGTGGATATTACTTTGATAGTTGTATATGATAGATTTTTTTTTTTTCAGATATATTTGCCATTTGACTTTCATATGACCCAAATAGCAGACTGGCCTTCTGGGGAAAATGTTGAGCTTGATTTTATATCTGACTTCACTAACTCTTTGACATTGGACAAGATGTTTCCCTGTATTTTCCTTAGATAGCTAAATCCTAAGGAGATAGTTTTAGTTACCAAGTCATAACTATTTTGGTAGAGTTCTCCACTGACATAATAATAGCTTCTTCCCATATTAAGGAATATTGCCATAAAGATTTTTTGTATATACTTTTCTTGATTTGTGTGATTGTGTGAGCGCATGCACACACACGTTGTTATCCGAAATCTTCTTATATAATCAAATCTATTATTATTCCATTTAACAATAATAACTAGTATTTCTTTAAGATTTGCAAAGTGCTTTACAAATACTATCTCATTTGATCTTCACAAACCCTCTGAGAGATAGGTGCTATTATTCACCCCCATTTTACACATAAAGAAACATTGGGAAACAGACTTTATCAGGGTCACAGAGGTATTAAGTGTGTTAGGTCAGATTTGAACTTGGGTTTTCCTGACTCCAAACCTAATATTCTATCCATGCTTTATACATTTGCATGGTAGGAAAAGATTCTTTTCTTTCCGTATTAATATAAATGTTACTGCTTTTACTTTAAATATTTTCATGACAAATATTTTAAAATGTCTTATTTGTGACACATATTTATTGCATCTCTTTTTTCCCTTCTCTCTTCCCCCTTTCCCCCTCCCCCAGAGTAAAATAGTTCGTGTTCTGAACCTTTGGCAAAAAAATGGAGTGTTCAAAATTGAAATTATTCAGCCTCTTTTGGACATGGCAGCAGGAGCTACTAGTGCTGCCTCGGTGCCAGAAAATGTTACTAATAATGAAGGTATGATGATCTAAAATGTTAACCTGTGAATTTACTTAATGCAGTGATTTTCGTGAAGCATATGACTTTGCTTCAAGTTCAAGGATGTAGGGTTTTGTTTTGTAGTTCAATAACTACAGACTGGATTCGTGTATTTGTGAAATTCTTCCATACTTGGGTTCTTAATACTCAGACATATAACTGAATATGCCAAAATTAATACCCTGCCAGACTTACTAGAATAAAAGCTAGTAATTATTGTTACTTTTTATTTATTTATAATTGTTAAAACAAAATTCCATACCTTAGAATATATTTTGTGAATTACATAGCTCTTTCTTTTTAATAGATAAAATATTGTTGAGGACTAATATAGTACTCCAATAACGATAAAATTTTAAGTACTATTACTGAGATGTTATGGTTTTCTATTTCCTTTTCTTGTAGGTTCACCTCCACCCCCAATAAAAGTTTCTTCTGAAACTCCACAAGTCACTACAAACTCAGTACCAACTATGCCACAGTTGCCAAGCTCAGATGCTTTCGCAGCAGTGGCCCAGTTATTTCAGACAACCCAAGGACAACAGGTAAGCTAACTAAAATTCAAGCACACAAAAGAATCATGTTATTTGTAAAAGTCATTTTAATTTTAACAAAAACAAACATTTAATAAATATTTACTATGTGCAAGGCACTACGCCAGGGGAAAAATATAAAAGGAGCCACCTTACATTGATGAGGGTTGCTAGTGATGCAGTTTTGTTGAGAAAGCCAAGTTTACAGGAACACGAGATGATAGAATATGTATGAAAAGAAATGAAGGGGTACCAATCCATTTATTACTTTTTTTCCCCTTACAATTTGATTTAAGAGAGCACAAACTTTTTGCTATTTGCCTTTCTACCTTTGCTGTACACTCTTTTCCCGTGCAAAACGGAGCAATGTAAAAAACCGTATCCAGAGGAAACATAGAATCTATTTAGTTTCCCTACCTGTGTTAATTTGTCTCACTATTCATTGTATTTCTTAATAATGCTTTTTTATACTATGCACCTACCAGCATATAGCTTATTGAATTTCTCATTTGTTAAGCTTCAGCAAATTCTTCAAACTTTCCAACAACCTTCAAAACCCCAGTCTCCAGCCATTGATAATTCTGTGATGGCTCAGGTTCAAGCTATAACAGCTCAGTTGAAGACTACAACGACACAACCACCTGAACAAAAAGCTTCCTTTCCCCAACCTGAGCAAAAAACTACATTTGATAAGGTAGGCCATTTCCCTTAATTTTTCAATCAGCTCTCAATGTTTGAGCTATTGAACCCCATCTTACTGCCCACAGAAATTTATCATTATTTTCACAGGCTGATTTCTTTCTACTACTCAGCAGCCTTCTGCACCATCTTACCCATATTGTTAGTCTATATGCACAAGGATTATAGAATAATTTTAATAATTGTAAAGTCAAAATCTGTTTGGAAGGGCCAGTCTGCTCCCCTAAAACATCCTGTTAGTACATTCCAAAAGTGCATATAAATAACTCATTTCAGATTTTATCACAGATTTAATTTGGGTGTTTTTGTTGTAGCTAATTCTTGATTTCAATATCTATTTTTAGAAGTAATGAACTAACAACTTCTCTTTGGAAATATGTGCTCCCTTCTAAGTATTTTTAATCTCATTTTCATTTTATTGCTTGAATTTCAGAGGAAAGTATTAATCCTATTGCACACATTGGCTTTAGAAGTTATATCACAATGGAAATATGTTTTACATGATTTCACATATAAAATTGGTATTGTTTGCCTTCTCAATGAGTGGGGGAGAGACTGGAGGGTGGTAGAAAATTCTGAACTCCACATTTAAAATGAAAAAAAGAATGTTAAAAATAAATTATAATTTTTAAAAAAGTTATATCACAAATGTTTGTTAGCTAAGGACAAAGATTATTCCAAAAGGATGTTGAATAGGTTAAGCATAGGTGTATACGTAGTACATTAATTTTGTTGGTGGTCACATGCTGATGGGCATATGAGAGGATGCCCACCTCTCCCATGGGTCAGTAAAGAGAATCAAGTGTATTCTTTGTGAGGATTATGTCTATAGAATAGTTGACTTTAATCAGTTTTCACTAAGTGTGTAATGATTCATTTTTTTCAACCAGAAAATGTTTCCATAACATGCTGCTATTGCCACCTTATCTTTATGGAGAGAATATTTTTATTTGAGAAAGCAGATGAAAGTCATTTGCTATGTTTCTGGAAAGAACCAGTATGTGAATTATTTGCTTTCCATAAAATGAGATTGTTTGACTTATAGCGCATATGTGTGTGTGTGTGTGTGTGTGTGTGTATACATGTATATAAAATTCACCAATGGTCCCTCCAAAAATAAACCCATATAGTACTATTATCTTGTATTCTTTTAAATTTTCCTGATTTTTACTCTTGACCTGTAATTTTAAAACAAGCAGAGTCACTATGTTTTGTTGCTTAAATATTATTTTAATAACACACAGCATATAGTTTCTTTCTATAGACATGCAAAGTAAGTACATAAGCTCAATGTCATATTTTGTGTATTTTTTTAAAAAATTGACTTTCTTACTATGTTATTAATTTTGAAATTAGCTATTTTGCTACCAGAAAATTTGGTATCTAAGTATACTTTAAATTAATGTGTGTATAAGTATATACTGCATTTTATATTTCTGGGTTCCAAGGTAAGATTTTATTCTAAAAAACATGTAAAATAGCTATAGTATTATATTAATCATAATATGAGACAAGTGTTGATTTTTTTTTAAAAGAAGCATTGAAAAATAATTATTTTTTTCCAGAAGTTATTAGATAGATTTGATTATGATGATGAGCCAGAAGCTGCTGAAGAATCAAAGAAAGAAGATTCTTCTGTTTCTCCTTCTCTTCCTCAGCCTCCATTGTAAGTGACTTAAGGCTAATTAAAGAATAACAAAGTGAAAGATTATTATCATTCAGAAGTCTGAGAAAAGGCTAATTTCTCTATATAAACATATAAAATCATTTTTTCATTATCTTTTGCTAAAATTTAATATAGGTAATGTTACATGACAGAGACATATTTTTAATAGTACTTGCTATATTGAATAATGTAGGACAACAAGAATAGATGGCATTTATATAGTGTTTAAGGCTTACAAAGTTACCATAGATACCTTATCTCTTTTGAATCCCTCAACAGTCCTGAGAGGTAGATATTAGTTATAATTATCTCTACTTTACAAACTCGAGAAATGAAGGGACTTACCTTTGATTACAGAGCTAGTCTGTTGGTGAACAGATCTCTCTTGACTCCTAAGTTTCAGTATCCTTTTCGTTATACCATAATGCCTTAATAGAGAAAAATTAAGAAATTGTTCATATTAATTACTATTCACAGGTAGACAGAATCTAAGCTATTAGTCCAAATCTTTGCTCTTAATATTAATTCTACTTTACAGTTTCATTGCTATGGTTATTGGGGTGCTCCAAACAACATTCTGTTTTTCTTTCTAGTGGATTTCCAGGAGATGGCATGCAGCAGTCAGCATATTCACAGCTTCCAAATATAGATCCCTTTCAGCAGAGAATGTTGGGAGTACAACAGGATACAATACACCATCAGGTAGAGATGACCCTTTCATTTTAAATTTAGGCTTGAGACATGTGGGGACCTCTTCCTAAAATTTTATGATTTAGTAGCAAAGTATGAATTAGAAATACTGAAAACAGGATTATTTTCTGAAGCTAAATTCTGGGAAAGTGAATGTTGAATGTCATTAAGGAAAAACAGAATTTTTTTTAGAAGTTGTCTTCCATTGACACCAGAATTCTTTAAAATAGAGGTTCTTAACCTGGAGTCTGAACTGGTTTTTAAAATAATTTTAATAAGTATATTTCATTGTAATTGGTCCTTTGCAAACTGTATTTATTTTATGCAATTTTAAAAAATCCTTAGAAAGTGTCTATGGGCTTCCCCATACCATGAATTGGGTCTATGACACAAAAATGTTAATGCTTGCTTTAAAAAAAATTTTTTTAGTATTTACCTCTCCCTCTCATTGAACAATTTGTTTTAAAAAAGAAAGAAAACATTCATGACAAATATAGTACAGCAAAAATGGACACAAAAAACCTTAAGTCTTTAGTTCTCCAAAGTGTTTTTATAGTTAGATTTTTATAGATCCTGGGTGTGCTTTGGTAGATAACATTCTCAGATATTTCTTTGGAACTCAGCTGCTGGAATTTGTTTTGTTGGTAATACTGTTGTTCAGTCCTATCCAACTTTTTGTGACCCGATTTGGTGTTTTCTTGGCAAGATACTGGAGTGGTTTGCCATTTTCTTCTCCAGCTCATTTTACAGATGAGGAAACTGAGGCAAACAGGGTTAAGTGACTTGCCCAGGGTGACACACCTAGTAAGTTTCTGAAGCCATATTTGAACTCAGGTCTTCCTGACTCCATGCCCAGTGCTGTCTCCATTGTGCCATTTAGCGGCCCACTGCTGGTAATATATAGGAATGCTAATGATGTGTGTATATTTAATATTTTACTACTTGGCTGAATGTATTGTTTAAGTTTTTTAGTTGACTTTTTAAGTAATTCATATCATCTACAAAAAGTAATAATTTTGTTTCTTCTTTGTCCATGCTTATTCATTGATTTCTTTCTAGCATTTCTAGAAAAATGTTGAATAGTAGTAGCAATAATAGATATCCTTGCTTTACCTTTGATCTAATTTAAAAGGCCTCTTAATTTTTTTCCATCACATATAATGAATGTTTGCTCTTGGTATTAGATAGTTATTTGTTATTATACTTAGGAAATAATCCAGTTATTACCAATTTTAGAGTTTTAAACAGAAATGAATTTTTTATTTTATCTTTTTTTTTTTTTTTTTTTTTTTTTGGTACAGGCAGTTGGGGTTAAGTGACTTGCCCAAGGTCACACAGCTAGTACGTGTCAAGTGTTTGGTCTGAGGCTGGGTTTGAACTCAGGTCCTCTTGACTTAAGGGCTGGTGCTCTATCCACTGTGCCACTTAGCTGCCCCAAATTTTTATTTTATCAAAAGTCTTTTTAGCATTCACTGGTATAATCATGTGGTTTTTATTATTAACATTATTATATTTATCATCTTTTTTATGTTGAACCAACTGTGTTTTTATGATATTAATCCAATCTAGTCACAGTGTGTAATCTTTCTAATACATTATTGTAGCCTATTTGTAAATATTTTAAAATTACATTTTTGCATCCATGTTCGTGAGGAATGTTTGCTCCATCATTTTCTTTCTCTGATTTTTCTTTCTGGTTTAGTTATCAAGACCATATTTCTATCACATAAAGAGATTGGAAGGGTGCCTTTTTCCTATGATTTTAAGCATTTTGTGTAATATTGAAGGAAACATTGTATTTTTTACCCTTGAGCTTCCTTCAGGTCTTGGTTAATTGTCACTACCTTCTGCAGGAAGCCTTCATCTTACTTTTTTTTTTTTTCCATTTTTCTCTTTTTTAAAATATTTATTTGTTTTTAGTTTTCAACATTCACTTCCATAAGATTTGAGTTCCAAATTTTCTCCCCATCCTTTCCCTCCCCCTTCAACAAGAGGGCTCTGCATATACATTTATATTGAACCTGTTTTCACATTAGTCATGTTGTAAAGAAGAATTAGAACCAATGGGAGAAACCATGAAAAAGAAGAAACAAACAAAAAAAAGGGAAAAAAAGAGATCAATCTTTATTCAGCCTACATAGTTCTATTTCTGGATGTGGACAGCATTTTCCGTCATGAGCCCTTTGGAGGTGTCTTGGATCCTTGCATTGCTGAGAGGAGATGAGTCTGTCAGAGTTAGTTTTGGTACATTGTGACCCAATTCTTCTTAATCTTATCTTCCCTCTGAGAGAACCTCCTGCATATACCTTGTTTGTACATAGTTGTTTGCATGTAATTCCCTCTGTTAAATTAATAGATACATAATAAATACTTGTTGACCTAACCCTTGTTTACAGAATCCTAAGTGACTTTGGTGACTTCATTATTGATATGCAAAGAGGTTCTTTTATTCTTGACTAAAGAAGATTTGGTCTTAAAGGAGTTGAAGTGGATATTGTATCCACTTCATGGATTGTTTTGTTTTTTAATACAGTGGTTTTATGGAACCTTAAAAATCTTTTCCTTTACTGAAATAAAAGAAGCCCATAGCTTCAGTGGGTACTGTGTTCTATTGGTTTATCTTTTATGAGGCTTAGAATTCTTTTGCTGAAAGTTTTTAGGTTTTAACAATTGGTTGTTAAACTTCAGAACGAAACCTTTACGCTATAATCATATGCTAAAAATCAAAAAGTAACATAATTCTGAAAATTATTAGGAATCTGTGTATTTTATGATACCGTTCCCAGTAAAACACAAGAACCTAGTTTGAGAGGATTTCAAAAAATTTATTTAACTAGATACATTTTCTTGTCTAGATCATGGCCTGTCCTAGTTCATCTAGAATAGTGGTTCTTGATTTGAGGTCTGTGAACTTCATTTCTTCTTTACTGTCTCATCATTGGTTTTCTTTATATTCCTGTATATTTTAAGTATTTAAAAACATTGTTCTGAAAAGGGCTACATATGCTTCACCAGACTTCCCAAAGAAGTCCATGGCACAAAAACCCTCTCTATAAATGTCATGCTGGAAAATTTGAGGGGAAAACTAATTTCAATGATTTTTATCTCTTACTAATGGTTTTTCCTGACCATTTTCTAACAATTTCCACTAATAAATGTTTAAGAGTAATTAAAAATGTTTTTAGGTTTAATTGAAGCCTCTATAGATTATATTAATACTTAATTACAGATTAAAAACAGATACATGTTAAATATTACTTTTTTATTATTATACCTGTCATTTTAAAATTTAATTGTAATTATGGTATTCAAAACCCTGAAAGTCATTAGCTATTTATTAAGTACCTATTATGTGCCAGAAATTTTTATAAGCCTACAGTAAGAACGTTATCATTACCACAGATCTTTAAACATTTGTTTGATTTTTTTAGTGTATACATATGTGTGTATGTACACACATGCGTGTATGAGTGTGTATAAATTTAAATTTGCATGTGTGTTTAACTACATTTTTGAACATAGTACAAATAGAAACTACTATGCAGGCTTTATGTCATGATATTTATGATATTTAGAATAAGTTGTTGTATATAAAATAGTTGGAATTTTTTCTGTACTCTATATTTAGTGCTGATTATACAGGGAATAACTCTCGGTTTCTCTGAATTATTTGTGGCAACAACAAAGGAATTTGATCTCTCTTTTTTTCCTTAAGGTCCCACTCCCTCCTAATGGACAAATGCCAGGGTTTGGACTACTTCCTACACCTCCTTTTCCTCCTATGGCTCAGCCTGTGATTCCTCCAGCACCACCCGTGCAACAACCTTACCAAACTTCGTTCCAGGCACAAAATGAACCACATATGCAGAAAGTACATCAACAGGTGAAAAATCATTCCAGATAATTAAGTAATAGAATTGTAAAGTTTCATATGCAAAATTTGCATTTTTGCAGATTCTGCCTTTTGATTATATAATTGTATTTTGACCAACTGCCAAGCATTATTTAGAGCTATACATTTCACTTTCTAAAAACTTTGAAAGTTTAATAATAGTGAAAAAACAAATTAATGATGCTTTGAACTAATCAGAATAAGTCCTTCAGCTCACGGTAGAAATAGCTAAAATTTTACTATAAAATGGCTTTGATTAGTTTTCCACATTTGCTTAGGGTTTACCTGTCATGTCTTGAAATATTTTGGATTCTAAATTCTGCTCATTTACACATGCTTTTAATTAAAAGAATGTTTTGATCAAAATGTATCAAAATACACTGACAAAATTTTACTTTGTTAAATTATACTTTGGTAATGTTATGGCATACAGAGGAAAGGATGATCTTTCATTTTCTAATTGTTTAAAGAATTTTCTTTCTGGCAGGTAGTTAAAAAAATTGTTTGGCCTTTAAGTGATTCAGTCAGAGAGAGGTGTTTCAAGAAGCAAGGTCTCTTGTCTGATACTTGATAGGATATAACCTTATACTCATATAAGTTTTGTTCCCCTCATTTTAAATTGGATTTTATTTATTTTGAAGGAAATGGAAGTGGAGCAGCCTTGTGTTCAAGAAACTAAGCGGCATGTCTCTGAAAACAGAAAGTCAAGATCTAGGTCAGCATCAAGGTGAGGGGAATATAGCATAATTTTCCAGGAGTGAATACTTGGAGATGAAAAAATTTTAAATCAGTTTGCTTTCACTTTTTCTAAACAAATTGGGCCTTGAAATATTGTTGGATCCCATAAATGTGGGTTTGCAAAACCACAATTATAGGAAATATCCAGGAGACTTGGGAGTTAGTATGAAACAAGGATAGACATAGGTTTCAAGAGTTATAAGTTGGGAGTAGTGTGTGACACATTATATGAATAGAGTTTATGCTACATACCTGTCAAGGATGGGGTATAAGGATTTGAGGAAGAGGGATTTGTATATTTTGGACATGGTGTAGATGATAGGGAAGGTATTTGTGTCAAATACATAATGAAGGGAATTCATTGTGTATGAATGAGATATTAACAAGATCCTATCTGCTGCCTAGTCCCTCAAGGATTTATGGCATTAGACTTACATGTACTTGGATGTGTTTTGGGGGGAGAAATGTTCATAACCAAACAGGAGGTCACGCTTTCTTTCTCACTGGCTCATTGTTCCAGGGAAATCCCTTAAAATAAAGGTCAGGTATGGCTTGTGTCTTAGATAACAAAATGTGAGTAATGTCTCTTCTAGAAATGGTAGTTTTGATTGGTTTCATGTGTAGGGCATTGGTTTATTTCATCTACTGAAGAAACTTCTTAAGACACAAAAAAAGTCATGGGTATACTTTAAATACAGAAGTCATGAAACATCTCAGTTCATTTCACAGATTTTAATTCTTGTGGAATATGAAAACAAATTTGTGGAACTACTGAAAAGAAATAACATGTTCGCATTTATCTTGAACCTGCATTTTCCAAGCAACCCACAAGGATGTATGTCTGGCATGATGTAAAATGGATTATTATGATGTAAAATGAATCCATTTTATTTCTATAAGAAGCAGTATGAGGGAGAATGGTAGAAGTGTGATTAGAGACTCAGTAATGTCTTGTGTGATAAAAATTACCTTCAGTGTGAAGTACCCTAGGACTAAGCTGTATGTTAAGGGAACAACATAAGTTGGTAGTATGCAGTGGGATACAAGGAAAGACCCAAACTGCATGCAGGTTTCCTTTGTTCTCTGTGCATTTTCAGACTTTTGGCTGGTTTGGATTTTTCTCGGTTCCCAAATAGCTCTCCACATACTTTGCTCCCAAACTGTTTGAGCAGTGCTACTTTTGCAGGTATTCTTGTTTTCCCCTATAAGCTATGTGTAAAAGACCCATCTGTCTAAAGTATTTAGATACTTCACACTTATAGTGTTAAGTGAAACATGATAACTTTTCCATTGAAATTGAAGAGAAAACACAAAGGTATAGGAACTTTGTATTAATCCAAATTTAAGCTTTTTCTTTTCTCTAATACTTATTAAAAATCTTGCTTTCTTTAATTCAAGGATAAATTTGATTACGTTGGAAGTAGATTGATTATGTTTTATATGTACACAATTTATTCACTTCAATAAACATTTATTAAGCATCTGCTATATACTAGACATACAAATAAGAAAAAAAGAAAGACGGGCCCTGCCCTCAAGGAGATTACAGTCTAATGGAGGAAGATAATGCACAAAAGGAAGCGGGAAAGTGTGTGGAGACAGCCACCACCGGTACCCAGTGCAAGGATATATGATAGTCCTCTAGTTAAAATCAAGTAGATCCACTAATGGAAAATGAAAAGTTATCTAGAAAGTTCTGAGCACTTTGTAAAGGAAGGCTTTTGAAGAAGTTTATTTCTCTGCCTTCCAGATAACTAAAAGAGCTTAAAAATTGTTTCAAAAGCTAAGTCACTCTGCATAGTGATGATCATCGGCATATCCTGGGGGAGGTATACAAAAGATATTCCTGGAGTTGAATCTAGAATCTGGTTAGTGATGGGGTGTATGTGCGCGTGCACTCATGCACACGCACATCTATATACATATATGTGATCTGTCCACTTGTAACCAAATGTGTATATAAATTAGATAACATTTAGTTACATGGAAAGTGAATGTTATATGTATTACATATGATTTTTTTTGGTATAATTCTTATATATACATACGTGTGTGTGTGTGTGTAAAACTTGAAAATGACTATTATCATCTTTTATTAGTCATATTAAAAGGTATTAATTTGTCTGCAGGAAACATGGTAAGGTATTGGTGTATGAACATAGAGGTTGAATTTGAAATGCTTCCCCAAAATGATGTGGAATCTTTACTAATCAAGGTAGTCTGACATGACTAATACATGTCCTTTATAAGTTATAATGTGTCATACTAGTATCATACTAGAAAATCATAGTATTAACTTCTTAAATAATCATACTGGTCAATAAAATTTAAAAGAATGCTTTTTTTCTTAGTACAGATAAAAGGAGAAAGAAAAACTTCAGGAGTTAAAGTATGTTGGTGATGAGAATAAATATGTACAAAAAGCATATAGGATGCTTTATTATGCTTAACAAAATTGTATTTGGTCTCTGGCTAAAAAAATCAATCATATATGCAACTTTTAATATATTTTGAAAACTTTAAGAAACTCACAGTTATCAAATCTTTATTCCTAACCACTGAGTTACATTACTAAACTTAAAACTTCTGAGTGAGAGAATTTATGTGTATTCATTCCATCCTCTAATAAATATTAGGTCACCCAAAAGAAGGAGATCAAGGTCTGGTTCTAGATCTCGAAGGTCCCGTCATAGACGTTCTCGTTCACGGTCCCGAGAGAGGCGCCGGCATTCTCCTCGATCCCGATCCCAAGAGAGACGAGAACGAGAGAGAGAAAGAGAGCGCAGGCAAAAGGGGCTTCCTCAGATTAAACCAGAAACTGCTAGTGGTAAGTCTCTCCAAACTTTTTGAAGTTATCAGACTTTTTCTGTAGTATTTTTATGTGTTGAAGTTGGAATAAGTGGTTTGGTTTTTAGGTTTGGGGATAGAAAGTAGGCAGCATTAGAAGTGAGCAAATGAACATTTCTACTGTGACCATGCTTTCTTTCCATGGAACCTCCCATATTTTACTTCATGAAATACAAAAACTTCACAAATCTCAGCTTATGTCATAATCTCTTAATTTAAGGTAACTTGTTTTAAAGATGTTAAAGTACTGTGAAACTATTTCTTCCTTAATTTTAGCAACAGAGGGAGGAGGGGTAAGGGAATCAGGGAAGGTTTCATGGAAGAGGTAGCACCTGACTTCATCTTTGAAGAAACAAAAAATTCCATGGACCTCTTGGGCAGTGTGAAGCTTTTAATTTTTTAGGCAATTGGGGTTAAGTGACTTGGGCAGAGTCACACAGCTAGTAGGTGTCAAGTGTTTGGTCTGAGGCTGGATTTGAACTCTGGTCCTCCTGACTTCGGGGCTGGTATTCTGTCTACTGTGCCACCTAGCTACCCCGAAACCTATTTTTTTAATGCGTTTAAAATTCATAAAATAAAATACATAGGATTAGAAGGGAAATGTTATGTTGAAATAGAGTTATTAAAATTTTCTTTTAAAAAACAATTACATGGATGTCAGGTTGGTTAAGAACTCCTACACGTGAAAAGCTTTTAATCAAGGAAATGATAGGATACAACGTACACCTTAGGAAGAGTAAATTGGATTGAATGGATGCCAAACTAGAGGCTAAGAAACTAATTGAGGTAGTTTTTATAGTACCCCAGGTGAAAGGTAGTGAGTTCCTTCTTTAGAGGTGATGATTAGGCAAGTAGAAAGATGGGGAAAGATGCAAGAGGTATTGTGGAGGTGAGATAGACAGGATCTGACAGCTGGTTTGATTGTGTATGGGAGGGGTGATTCTAGGTTAATAACTTTGGTCACTAGGAGGATAGTAACATGCAAAAATGGAAACTTTGAGAAGGGCAAGTTTTGTATATTTATGTGTATAAATATTATATATTGTGAATTTGAATTAATAGCAGGGGATGTCCAGTTGGAGAGATCTAGCAAGTATAGTTGCTTAATTGGAAGTTATCTGTCTAGAGAAGATAATTTAATCCTTAGCTATACTACTATATTAAATTTAACATACATTTTAAAATAAGCTGTATTAATAAATTCACAGTTTCATATACAGTCCTTTGTATATGGGAATGTTCATGTTTGATTGTATAGTTCGTAATACGTTTTTTAAAGAACATTGGATTTATTAATTAAGAGATTATTGATGACCTTTAAGCTCAGTTGAGTTGAATTGGTATGGTTAGAAGCCAAATTACAAGGGATATTAAGTATTGTGTGGGTGAGTAAAAAGTGGAGAGAAAAATAAAAAATTGGTAGACTAGAGAGATGGAGATACTGGAGGTCCTGGTACATATGCCCAGTGAGTTAGAGGTAGAAGTCGATGAGAGTAAGATCTGAGGGGGAAATTCCATAGTTCAAGATGGCACAGTTTTGAATGCTTTATCTAAGTCAAATGGATAAAGAAAGTCTTCAGAGTTGAAAAAAAGATTGAGGTATATCAACATGAAATGATCGAAGATAAGGGCAGGGTAGGAGAAGACAGAGCCAGATGCCAAACTCCTTAGCTGACATTTCCATGGTATTCTAAGAGAATATTTTCAAAATATTTTTTATACATTATCTCATTTGATCCTCAGAACGACCCTGTGAATCTCTAATACCATGGGTGTTATTTTCCAGATGAGGAACTGAGGCTTATCCAGTAAAAGTCCTGCTCATGGTCACACAATTAATAAGTGGTAAAAGAAAAAGCAAGAATGAAATAGGCCCATAAGTGATCACAGCAAGAGTCTGTTTAGAATCATAATAGATGGAGGAGTGCATCTCTTAAGAAGAGTTTCCTGAATAATAGAAGCAAAAGGAAATCAAATAATATATGACCTGCTCCTGAGGCTAGATGTATTAACATAGTATGAGAAGGGTAGTCAACACTGGAGAAGAAGGCAAGCATAATTGGAGAAAAGTAGGAGGGGAGGGGTAATAATGTTGTGGGGGTGAAATTTCAGTGGACATAGTGCAGAATATAAAAACATAATAATTGGAGAGAAGTAGGGCTGACCTGAACAGGAATGAAAGTACTTAAGAGTTACCATTGTTACTGTAGTACGTGATTGAACTACAGGGATCTGGGGAGAAGGAAATAGAAATTTCCTAAAAGACAAAGTCAATAACAGTTGAATAGTATGGTGGATTAGTCCTGCAAGTCTTGAGTTCTCAAATCCTGCCTCATAATACCTAGTATTTATACATAATAGTCTGTTTTAAGCTTTATAGCTTATTAAGCTTGAAACTGCACTGAGACTGGAGACCACCTGTATATATAACATACACATACAGTTAGAATTTATGTGTATATATTACATAGATACATATGCACACATTTATTCTAATGGCAAGTTAGACTGGATTTTCTAGTTGGGGGTAGGGATTGGGAAAAGCTTCTTGAAGAAGGTTGCATCTGAGTGAGGCCTTGAAGGAGGAAAAGGACTTTTAAAGAAAAAATAGAAACCCATTCTAGGCATAGAGGACTTTGTGTGTCCAAAACTAGGTAGTGTTGTGGGCAGAGTGCTGCACTTGGATTCAGGAAGACCTCATTTCAAATCCTGCCTCAGATGCTAATTAATTGTGTGACCCTTGGAAAGTCATTTAACTTCTATAAGCCTCAGTGTGGTTTAAAGCTTATAATAAGTTCATTAAGCTTAAAACTGCTCTTAGAGTTTTGGGACACCCTCTGTATACACATATGCACACAAATCTGTACATAAACACACACTAGATTTTAAGCTCCATGACAGCTGCTGTTGACTCTTAACAGTGCTTTAGATATAATAGGTATTTAAATGTTAATTGAATGAATAGCACATGGAATGATAATATTTGAGTTCCAATTCTGGGAGAGTGGTGTCTTTTCAACATTTTATTGATTAAACAAGTTTTTGAGTTTCCACAGTGTGCAAATTAGAGAATTATCTTAGATGTTAAAATGAAAGCATTTGTGGTCACTTGAAAATTAGTAAGTTTTTACAAAAAATATATATATTAGAGTCACTTTTCACTGTGATGATATTCATGTGGAATTTGACATTGTTTTATGGTTTGGAGTTTGTAAGGCTATAAATTTTGTAAATTAAAAAAGCTGATTAATGACTTCCAAACTTAGTTCTTGCAGTTTAGGCATCTGGGTTATTGGGAAACCAATTGGTTTTATTTTCTTCAGGTGTAGCTAACCAAGTCTCAGCATTAGTGCACCTTCTAGTAAACTTTGATTATCATATTTTTTTCATAAGTCTTCATTAAGATTGTGTAAATCATTTTTAAAAATGTGATTCTGTGATTTATAAGCTATTTGGAAGGATGAAGTAATAATTAGCTGCATTAAAGCAAAAAGAAAGAGACAGGCTACTGCAAACTTAAGTTAACATGTAACATACAACAGAATTTGAAGAAATATAAACACCTAGATACAAATACCTTCTTTCATTAAAGTTAAAGTATTGTTAAACCTTATTTATTAGTCACACCTTGGGTTTATTCTTGTAACTAAGTTTAATTTCCCAAATGCAGAACATTCCAGCCTTTATTCACTGGGAAATTCATTACTTTTTTCTTGAGGTACACATTAGTGTGTACCTTTTTACTAACCTTTGTTTGCCACAAGCTTTCTTTAATTACTGTAATTACTCTAGCTAGACTAGAGTATCTGTTTCACCACTCAGTGAGCTAAAAATCTGGCTTTTCTTTTCTACCTCAGCATGTTGCCTATTCCATGACCAGTTGAGAATGTAAAAAAACAGAGTTTCATAGGTGACAAAATTGGTATCATTCTAATTAAGTAGACTCTCATTCATTGTTCTCTCTCACTTTTTTTTCCAACATCATTTTATGTCCTGTCTTTCAGAGCTTCCTGTTTTTATGCATTTTATGTAAGACAATATAAGGTTGTTCTCTCAGCTCTATAATTCTACAGCATAACTGAATAAAGGACTTTGGTAGAAATAGCTTCTACTTATCTTTTTTGTGTGTGTGTGAACATTGTAAAACTTGCTTTGAATATAGTTATGCAGTAACTTATTGGTATCATTTATTTAAAAAAAAATTTCTGCAGCATTATGATGTTACTTAAATCTCTAAATAATAGAAGAATATAATCTTTGATATCGGTATAAAGCAACATAGTTATTATTCTGTTGAGTAAATCTGTTTTCAAAATGTTTAAATCTACTTTTATAAAATGAATTATTTGAGACATGCAAGGGAAAGTTGTTATTTAGGAGTCTTACTGTGACTTATGTAAAGCAAATAATTACTTTCAAATTGCATTGAGATAAATATATGTCAGGAATATTTCATATGAGATATAGTAATGTATTTTGTTTTTAAATCATTTTCCCTCCAATTTTTAAAAAAAAATTTTCCTTTAAGTTTGTAGTACTACACTCTGGGTGGGACAGCTAGACAAAAGAACTACTCAGCAGGATGTTGCCAGTCTGTTAGAAGAGTTCGGCCCAATTGAATCAATTAATGTAAGTATTTCCCCTACCACTTAATGATTGATGATTTTGACAGATAAGATACAAAAATTTTGTGATTGACAGCAAAGAGAATAAAACTAAGGTCTCCTGATTAGATGTTTAGCATTTTTCTGGTATAACCATGTTTCTTGAATGATATTGTATGGTATTGCCTATTTTAATTTAAAGCCCAGTTCTAAGGAAGGAGCCTTTAAAATAACTGTACTGTAGAAAATTTTCAAAAAAGTAGTGTATAAATTTATCAAATATGGTTTCCAGAGATTGCCAAAATTGTTACCTAAATGAAGTCAAACTGTCTAATTCCTACATATCAGCTAAACCCTAAAGTCTATATCAGACCTAAAAATCATCTGAAATTCAATGAGAAGCTATAGTGACTTATTCCACCCCAGAACTTCATAAGAGATCAGCTAGAAGCATGAGTATAGGAAAATGAGCCCTTCCAGCAAAGCTAGCACCAGTTTGATTACAGACTGCCAGGAACACATAAAACCTGCAAGAATCTGTGTTGTGAAGCATCAGGAGCTCCCCTGAGAAAGCTACAGGCTGGTCAGAAAACCCAAAAACACAGACCTTAGACATGCCAGAGAGCAATAGCCCAGCACAGGAACATTCAGACCTGGACTGCCTAAGGCCTCTTGAGGTCCCCGAAACTATTGTCTTAAGAAAATGGAGACCAAAAACATCCAACACTCTGAACCTTAAAGATCAGTGGAATTTGAAATGAGAGAAAGGGTAGTGTTAAGAATCTTGGGGTCTTTAGAGCAAGCAGTGACTCAAAGGAAATATATCATTACCTAGAAGAAATGAATTAAGAGATAAAAAATTGAAGTAAAAACTCTGGAATAAAGAATTGGCGGGCAGCTAGGTGGCGCAGTGGTAGAGCACTGGCCCTGAAGTCAGGAGGATGTGAGTTCAAATGTGACCTCAGACACATAACACTTGCTAGCGGTGTGACCCTGGGCAAGTCACTTAACCCAAACCCCAATTGCCTCACCAAAAAAAGGAAAAAGGGGAAAAAAAAGAATTCGAAGGAAAATAAATAACTGAAAAGGTGCTAAATCTTACCCAAGAAATGAACTTTCTGAAAACCAGAATATACCAATAGAAATCAGTGACTTCATGAGCCAGAAGAAAAAAAATAAGAAAATGTAAGATCTATAATATCAGAAACAACTGAGCTGGAAAAGAGGTCAGGAGAGACTTAAGAATTATTGGAAGAACATCTTAGCCCAAATCCAGAGCTTTCAGGAGGAGGTGGTCTTAGATTGCCTCTTGGTCAAATGGAAAATAACTGAACAAATTGTGGTATATGAATATGCAAAATAGACAGTTTCAGAGACTCATGAGTTATTTGAACTGACTCACAGTGAAGTGAATAGAACCAGGTGAACAATTTATACAAGAATAGCAACATTATAAGGAAAAGCAACTTTGAAAGGAGTAACCATGTCTCCAGCAGACCTGTGATGAAGCATGTTACCTACCTCTTGATAGGTGATCTTGGACACAAGGTGCATTAAAAAAAAAAAAGTGTAATTTTTGAACATAGTTCACTGTGAATTCATTCGGATATTGTTTTGCTTTTTTAGTCTACGGGAATGCTGAGGGGGATTAGCAGGAGTAATGCCCCAAAAAAGAGGGCAGTTGAAACATTTTTTTAAAATGCACTAAATATAGGGGTGGGGAACCTTTGGCCTGTAAAGTTTGGATCCAATCAAAGGGCCGCACTTGATGACCTGGAAGGCCACATGTGACCTTGAGGCTGCAGATTCCTCACCCTTTCTGACAGACAAGATAGTTTTGAAAGGGTGTGGGTGTAGTTGTGTTTTACAGCAAGTAGTATGAAATGGAGATTCATTTTCATAGAAAAATCTTTGTAATCTGCTGTGTTTATGGAAATGCCTTTTTAGTGTTTAAATTAATAAATTTAATTGAGAAAAATGATTTTTATATAATGAAGACCAAATCCTTGACAGTAATCCATGGTATGTAAAATGCACTACTATTATTAGTAGAACAGTACCTTTCTTCAACCCAGTGGGGTTAGCCTGAGCATGAGGCCATTTGGACTTGGCATTTTCTAGTAGAAAGAATGCACCCAAGAGGGAGAAAGAATGAGAGAGAAGGGGAAGAGCACGAAGAGGTAGGCCTAGCCTGTGATCCTCTTGAGCTTAGGGGAATAGAGAGGTTGGGATATAGCCCAAGTGTTTATTTCCTTCTTGAAGGGAAGATAGAAGTACAGGAACAGTTCTGGGAAGCTAACCTTCCTAGCTGTAGCCAAAAGGGAAAAGGTTACTAAGTATGAGAACCTTTGCTTATTGACTGAACTCTAGACAAAAGGCTCGAGCAGCAAATCTCAACTGAAAGGAAAAGGAAAGGTAGGAGAAACATCATCAGGCTCATAGGTTCATAGACATACATCTGGATGTAATTTCAACACACACACACCTACACTTTCACACACTCTTACCCCTAAATTTCCCTGGGCACAGTTCCTCAGTTTCTTCAACTGCATCCACAAAAATGGAGATAATAATAACTCATACCTCCTGGGATTATTGTGAGATTCAAAGGAGATAATTGATGTGAAACACTTAGCAAACCTTAAAACACTATATAAATCTTACCTAATATAATTCTTAAATCCAGGTTTTCCAAAATTCGCATAGGTAGTGGGTGGATGGTAGTAATAGGTAGTAATGGATGGAGGCAGGGCTCTAGTTGCCAGAAGGAAGATCAGGCATAAAATTCCAGAAGCTTTACACTTACTGCTTCTTGGACGTACCAGGCTCACATTTTTCCAGTCACTTACCCTCCTGCTCTTAGGACTTCAGACAGTATCTCAGCTCCACCAAAAAGGTGAAAGTGCCTTCTTGTTGAAAAGTAGTTAAGGAGCCATTTATACATCTGAAGGGAGTCTAATTCTATTAATGTTATCCCTTCAATCTAGTCCACGTGACTGATCGGGGGACTAGTATTATATCTAGAAGATCCTACCCTTTTTTATCCCCTGCATTTCTGTGGCCCTTTAATATTCATCAGTAAGGGTGCATATGTAGGATGACAAATCAAATTCCAGATTACTGTATAATGTATTTAGTGTCCTAGGAATATATTTAAGATACTGCTGTCACATACATCTTGACTTTTTTATATTTATGATTTTTCTGTTATATGTTTTGGAACAGATGATACCTCCTAGGGGTTGTGCCTATATTGTAATGGTCCATAGACAAGATGCTTACCGTGCCCTTCAAAAACTGAGCCGTGGCAACTACAAAGTCAACCAGAAATCTATAAAGGTACAAATTTGGAGGAAATATGTATTGGAGTCAGTTTTTAAATTTCCACATTAAATTTATTGCTTCATCACTTTAAAAAAATCGACATTTGGAATTTTTGCATACTTTTTATGCCACCTTTTGATAATGTGACATTCCATGTACCTGGTAAAATTTGAAGCAATTTTTACATTCCTTTTGTAAGTGAGCTTTTTTTTACAAAGGTAACCTTACTTACTTTTGCCTTCTAATAGAGCTGTGGTGTGTGTACTTTGAAAAGTTTGTTAAATGAAAAATGTAGTTTTGTTTAATTCATGCTTTGGATAGTTATTCCTTCAACAAATGTATGTGAACCCCTTCTGTTTAATTCCATTCTTAGTAATCTCCATATTCTACCTCCTGTTACAGTGATGGTAGATGGTTGTCCTTCTTGTGTCTACCAGCCCTACAAGGACCTTAGTTGTAACCTTTTGAGACCAGAAACTGTGTCATCTTTATTTGGTCTATATGATGCCTTAGAAACACTAGGCCCTTAGTATTTGTTGAAGTGGAATTTGATACCATAGGCATTGGAATTCTGGTTGGTTTTTCGTTAATATGTTAAACCAGCCAGATTAATTTTATCTACTACATGCACAAATGAATAATACAATTTAGTACTTTAGAAATGGCATTACTTGATCAGTGATAGAGATTTTGTTTAACAGTATAGGAATCTAGTTTGGTAGATTCCATGGAAGCCACAGTGTTTTGCAACACTTAAAATCTCAGGAGCTTATAGCCCATGTCATTTCATTAAGCTGGATATTCTTCAGTATGAAGGAATTTCTGTGAGTTACAGGAGTATGAAATAATTCTCAGATCTAATGTCATGTATCTGATTTGCCATGGTGGTCTCCACTACACTAGGATAGAGACCCCCTAATCTTTTTTCTGGTGTGGAATCACAACCCCAAAGCGTTACAGTTATGAGAATGGAGAGGACTTACTGTGAATAGCAAGTAGCTTTTAGGGCTAAAGGTTCTTCTTCCAGAGGGGATACAGTGTAATTCAGATTATAACAAGTTATAATGAAGAATTCTGATGCCTGTGACATTCATCTGGTGTCACAGGATAAGTGATTGTATTGTGGTCCAGCCGCACAATTTCTTTACTCTGATTGAAAGTGGCACATACTCTACCCTTAAGCAACCTGGCCGAAGATGTCTCAAGAGACTGTCCCAATTTGCCACTCTCCTCCAGGCTGCTCAGTAGCTTCACTTCCTCTGTATGTGGGCAGAAAGTGCTAAGAATCCCCTGAAGTACTTTTCTCCCTGGATAGAATAAAGTCCAGAAAAGTATACTCCCTCCCTAGAAAATGAAGACCCTTAATGATCCCCTCTGAGGATGGAAAAGTAGTCTGTGGGACTAATTAATGCTTCTCCCTAGACTTCCTGGGATCTCTGATGTTCTCTGTCCAGGCCTATAGTTAGTCTCTCTATTGCAAGTTTACACCACCTTCCCTTTCCTGTACTCACCCATACCGTAACACATGTACACTGTTTGCTCCTCCCTAGGCATTTCTCTAGACTATAGTCTTACCCAAAGGCTGCTTTTGGTTTAAGCTTAGGTAATGTGATTCAGAGAGTTTTAGATATCTATAATCAATTTTAATTCTCCCTTGCCTTTCCCTGCTTTTTTTGACTGGTGAAATAGATTGCCTGGGCCTTAAATAAAGGAATAAAAGCCGATTATAAACAATATTGGGATGTGGAACTCGGTGTAACTTATATACCATGGGACAAAGTCAAACCTGAAGACCTTGAAAGTTTTTGTGAAGGAGGAATGCTGGACAATGAAACACTTAATCCCGGTAAGACAGAAAATAATTTTACCACTTATGTTTGAATGCCAGTTAAGTGTATCATCCTTTGTCTGCCTAAGTAGTAAATAAACTTTGAGTTGTTATTTTGTAAGTAGAAATGGAAATGTGTCCTTCATGATCAATGACGTCCATGTGTGATGTGGCTTGTAGAGGTTAAAGAGGCCTAAATGAAGTTAAGTCTTTTCGCCTCAGCCTCATTTGCATTATGTTTTAGCATACTATTTCCTAAGCCTTTTTATTGTACCAGCAATTGTAGATTATTAAATGTCTGATACATACTAACATAGAGCAGGGGTTGGCAAACTACTGCTGTCCTGCAGCCCCCTATTTTTGTTTGGCCCAAGAGCTAAAATTTGTTTTTATATTTTAAAATACAACATAACTTTATTTTAAAATGTAAAAGCCATTCTTAGCTAACAGGTAGGACAGCGAGGTGGCATATTAGACAGAGCGCTGGGCCTGAAGTTCAAATGTAGCTACCAACACTAACTGTGTGACCCTGGACAGGTCACTTAACCCTGTTTACTTGGCTCAGTTTCCTCATCTGTAAAATGAACTGGAGAAAGAAATGGGAAACCACTCCAGTATCTTTGCCAAGAAAACTCAAATTGGGTCACAAAGAGTTGGACATGACTGAACAACAAGAAAAGCTAACGGGAAGTTTAAAAAAAAGAAAAAGACTGGCTGACCCCTAGCGTAGCGTGTAAGGGATTTCAATCATTCAGCAAGTATTTAATAAGTGCCTACTGCTGCCAGGCAATATGCTAGGCCTGGGCTACAAATAACAATAAATGAAGTAAATTCTAGTGGCAAAAATCTTGTATTCAGTGTATGCCCACTGATAAGTAAAAAGCAGATGAAAAGATGAAATTGAATTATATCGGTAAAGTCTTTTTTTTTTTAAAGGTAAAGAAATCCACCCAAAGAGCTATACCAGGGGTGGGGAACCTGGGGCCTTAAGGCCACATGTGGCCCTCTAGGTCCTCAAGTGCGGCCTTTTGATTGAATCCAAACTTCACAAAAACTTGGCCTCAATCAAAAGGCCGCACTTGAGGACCTAGAGGGCCACATGTGGCCTCAAGGCCCCAGGTTCCCCACCCCTGAACTCTTAAGTATTTCTCATTGAAAATGTCTGTTGAGAACAGTCTTGCTTATCTGTATTATAATAAGAATATGAGATAATTAACATAATTTAAATCCATTAACATTTATAACTGTATACATGGTATAACTTTGTGTCTATTTATGCTGATTCTTACCCCAGTGAAATGAGGTTTGTATTTCCTCGTCTGTTTAACTTAATACTTGGTATGTCCTAAAAGCATGAAGTACTGAAGGAACATTTTTTTGGTGCCAGTTTTCAGATAACTAAAATTAGAGCTATGGTATTATTGAAGGTGGTAGGGTGTACTCAAAATATTAGAATGATTATTGACAACAGTTTTTCAGTTAACTTTAACAGAATAATGAGCTTTAACAGTTAAACTTCTACTAGTGGCTGCGATTCATAGCTTAAAAGTTACCTACTTTACCTTTACCTTAAATGACAGTGGTATCAGTAGGTAAAAATATATCTAATTTCATTGCAACTTTCATTTGTATGTCATATTTTCTGTAAACATCTATTAAATACAAATTACAAAGTGGCCCAGTGTACTCTATAAGGGAAGTGTGTGGAGGGCTACAAAGGTTAAAATATGTTCTCTATGGTCATGAAGATTACAATGCTCAAACTAGGTAGGAAAATGTCACTAAAGCTCTATTACTATTTTTGCTTATTTCTAATTTTTTTTTCTGTTAATTAGTATGGTACAGAATGCAGTGTTTGTCATAGATCATGATAGGTTTAGACTCCAAGTATTAAATAGAGTGAAAACTAGACTATATGACAAGTTAGAGAAGTAATAAATTGATGAAAGTGTTCTAAGGAATTTAGTGTCTGGCAGTAGACTTAAGTTTTAGCAATAATTGGAATATAAGAAAAATCTTTAAATATACAGTATATTAATTACTTAAGCACATCAGTATAAATCAACTAAAAGTCAAGATCTTCAGTTAAGTGATCTTCAAAAATAGAAGTCATTCATTTCAAATAAGCAGTGGAAAAACCTTGCCAGTGGAATATTTTAGATACTATTGAATGAAGTCTATTTACCAATTTAGTTACCTAGAAAGTATATAAGATGGAAAGGTTTTTAGATGCTTTTAAAAAAAAAAAAACAATGATTTCATGAGGTGTATTTCATTATTTATGATTCAACTTACTACATTTGATCTCCTTATGTTCCGTAATTTATCTTGCTTTATAATTTTTTCATTCTATAAACTTTTTTTTACAACTACTATACTAGTAAATTTTGATATTAAACATTTTTGTGATTTATCATTTATTGTAAATAATTATGTATTGCTTTAAGAATTGATAAGGAAAATTTCATTGTTGAGTTGAATGTAATTGAATTTCTGTTTTCCCTCTTATAGATTGGAAAGGAATTCCTAAGAAATCTGACAATGAAGTTGCTCAAAATGGAGGTGCAGAAACTACACATGCTGAACCAGTATCACCAATACCTAAGGCTTTACCTGTTCCTGTTCCTCCAATTCCTGTTCCTGCACCAATAACAGTACCGCCTCCCCAGGTGAGATAGTATTTTCTTTTTTCTTTCTTTTTCTTTTCTTTTCTTTTTTTGGAGATAGTGTTTTCTTTGATCGTGTTTAAGCGTAATGAAATATTGAGTAAGCAAATTTGTTTGGTTTCTTTTAAAACCTTTTCTAAATTATAATTTTAAAATATGCCCTAATTCATAGATCGGTGAAAAGGAAAAATATAGAAACATGATTTTGAGATACTGAGCTGGAATCAGGAAGAAGAAAGTTCAAAATTCAAACCCCTACTAGCTGCAACCTGGGCTGATACTTTGACCTCTTTTTGCCTCAGTTATCTCATCTGTAAAATGGGGGTGATACCCTTCAGAGTTTTGTGAGAATTTAATGCTAAAACCTTAAAGGTCTATATAAATATTAGCTATTATTATTTAGCACATTTACAGAATCTTAGTACTGAAAAGGACCTCAAGTCTTTTAGTTTAACACGTATCTGACAAAAATGCCCTCTAAGCACCTCTGACAACCTTTCCTTGAAGAACATGTGGATGGAGAATTCCCTATGTCCTGAAGCAGCCCATTCCACTTTTAGAAAGCTTCAATTGTTAGAAAAGATTCCCTTGCATCAAGATTGAATCTGCTCTACGTAACTGCTAATCATTGCTTTTATTTCTGTCCTCTGGGACTAAACAGCAGATATAAATCCTCTTCCACATTCTGGTTCTTAAATAATTAAAGGTTTTTTAATAACATCTGCTGGTAATCTTCTCTTCTCCAGTCTAAAGATGTTCATTTCCATCAGCTGATTCTCATATAATATGGTCTTCAGTCCTCACACCCTTCATATCTTGAGAATTTATTGCCAGTTTTAGCCCATACTTGACTTTTTAGTGCTTCTGGTATTATCTCTATGGAATCATGCTACTCTTTGTCTCATCAGAATTTCATTCTTGAGAAGTGTCCATCCCTCATGGGTTGACATCCTTTGTAGAATATTAAGTCACAAATCCTAGCTAAGTTGGTATTCACCTGTTTTAAATTCATGCTTCCCAAATTCTAGATTGCACGTCAAGATTCCTGCTTGTGTTTCTGGTCCTTCACCATCACAAACTCTGATACAGTGGTCCCTTGGCCTTGATTTTTACTTTAGTAGGTAGTTTTTCCTTGTTAGTCAGATTTAGGTCCAGAATAACAATTTTCAGTTCACTTTGTTCTTTCCTTTTCAAACTAGAATTTTTAACCTGTTTTTCCTTTTTTTTTTTTTTTTTTTTTTTTTTTTTGGAGGCGATGGGGCAGAAGTGTCATCAGTTCGTTTAGCAGTCTGGTATCACTGGTGACCCTTCTCTCAGTAATGGTTTTTTGTTTGTTTTGTAAATTTTTTTAAAAATTTTAAATATAAAATGAGATAAGGGAAAAAAAACATTGCCATATGCATAGCAGACCATAAGAGAGGATTCAGTTTGACAAAACAATAAATTTCCATTTCAAGAAAGCCTATGTAATAACTACCACACATTCTTTTCAAAATTGTTCAGCTTTTCTTTGCTTCCTTGTTGGCTTTCTTTTGTTTTTTTACTGTGTACCTTTTATTTTATTTATTTATTTATTTATTGCCCTCCACCCTAAAGAAGGCTACAGTTACGTGTGGATATATGTACATATGTATAGATATCTATAAACATAAACATTATGCTTATTTCCACTTGTCATGTATTTTTCTGAAGGTGGGTAGCATCTTCCTCCATAGGTTCAAGTCTTTCCTTGTTTTTCAAAATCAACCAACTTAACATTTCCTACACCATAGCAATATTCCAACCCAATCACATCCTATCTGACAGATGGTCTATGGAAGTTTTTTCCCCCAATTTTTTGGTATTCCTTCTATTCTTGGCTACATGGGTTTTATTTATACAAGAAAATTTTAATTTAAAATAATCTTTTATTTTAAAGATAATTAAGATATTAAGATAATTAAAATTATCTTTTTTATACTTTAGCAGTGTTCTCCCTTATATCAGTCAAGGTCTGATACTGCTGACTCTCCTTCCTTTACATCTTTTTTCCTGGTTTCTTTGAAGTTCCTGACCTTTTGCTCTTCCAAATGAACTTTGTTATTATTTTTTTTCCTAACTCAGTAAAATAATTTTTAGTAATTTAATGGGGATGGCATTAATAGGTAAAATTGTCATTTTAAAAATTATATTGGCTTACCTACCCATGAATAATATTACTTTAGTTATTTAAATATGAGTTTATTTGCATAAAATGTGTTTTGTGTTTACGTTCATATAGTTTCTGTGTCTGTTTTTGCAGGTATGCATCAAGTATTTTATACTGTCTAGGTATTTTAAATGGTCTAAAACAATATTGAATAATATTGCTGACAGTGTAGTTTCTGTATTTTTCACTTTTGAGTAAATCTATTCTTACTTTAACTTTGTCTGGTATCATGATTACTATCCCTGCTTTTTTTACATAATAAATTGTACTCCTGCCCTTTATTTTTATCTTTGTGTATATTCTCTAATGTTTCCTAAAAGCAACATATTGTTGAATTCAAATTTTTAATCTGCTCTCCATTTCTGTTTTATGGGGTAAATTCATCCCATTCACATTCTAAGCTACAATTACTTGTTATGTATTTTCCTTCTTCTTTTTTCTCATTATCCTTCTCACTCTGTTTACCCTATCCCTCCTCACTCCTCTGCTTTACTTCTACCCACTACCTTGTCCTCTATTCCTTAACCTACCCACCACTCTAACAGTCCCTCCCTTATCCTCTCTCCCTACCCTATCCCCTTACCCTCTTATTTCTTTCTGAATTTAGAAGGCTTTAATATTCTAGATATATATAGTTCCCTCTTTAACCCATTCCTGATGAGAGTAAGGATCCAGCACTAACTGCCCTCTCCTCTTCTAAAGTTTCTTTTGTATCAAATTTTCCTTTTATGCCTCATTTGTGTGAGTTAATTACTCCTTTATCCCTCCCTACAGTTTTATTTTTTTTAAGAATTACTACATCATGCTCAGCTCAGCTCATGCCTTTCTTTCAAACTACCTAAGTAATGATGACAATCATGAAGACTACTGCTAACATTTTCACATATACAAAGTGAACAATTTGACCTTATTGAATCTCTTATGCTTGGTCTTTAGTGTTTATCTTATATTTCTCCTGAATATTATATATCAAATTTTCCCTTAAGTTCTGGATTTTTTTTGTCACAAAAACTTGAAAGTCTTTGTGTTCATTAAGTGTCCATTTTTTTTTCATTCAAGATTATATTTAACTTTGCTGGTTAAGTTACCCTTGTAACCCCAGCTCTTTTGCTCCATGGAATATAGTATTCCAAGACCTTCAACATAGTAGCTGTTAGGTCTTGTGTAATCCTTATTGTAGCTCCATGATATTTAATTTTTTTTCTTGTTGATTCCAATATTTCCTCCTTAACCTGGGGGCTTTGAAACTTGGTTGTGATGTTCCTGTAGGTTTTCCTCCTGCGATCACTTTCAGGTAGTGATTGGTGGATTTTTTTCTATTTTTCCTATGTCTTCTTGTTCTAGAACTTCAGAGCAATTTTCCTTGATAATTTCTTGTAACAGGGTATCAGGATTCTTTTTTTTTTAATCATGATTTTCAGGTAGTCTGACTATTTTTATATTATTTCTCCTCAGTCTGTTCTCCAAATCAGTTGTTTTTCTGATGAGATGTTTCACTTTCTTTTTTGTTTTTTCCTTCTTTTGATTGTTTTATCGTTTCTTGGTGTCTTAGAACGTCATTAGCTTCCCCTTGCCCAATTCTAGTTTTCACAGAATTATTTTTTCCTTAAGTTTTTAATTCTCTATTTCAAATTGGTTGACTTTCTTTTCATAATTTCCTTGATTTTCTTCTATTACTCTTATTTTTTTTTTCTAACTTTTTCTTGGTCTCTCTTATTTGATTTTTTAAGTTCATCCAAGTACTCTTTTTGTGCTTGGGACCATTTGACGTTTCTCATTGAAAAAGGTGGCTTTTTTAGCTCCATTATCTTCCTGTGAATATGAGCCCAGATTTTCTCTGTCCCCACAGTAACTATCTGTGGTTAAGTTCTTTTGCTTACTCATTTTAATTTGTTTTTTGTTTTATTTTGTTTTTAGCAACTATTAGTGTAATAAGGTTATAGTCCTAAGGTATGGGAAATGATGCCCCAAGTCTCAGGTCCTTCTTACCATTATTTTCTGAGGTTTATCTTAGAGCCCAACCTTGGGCTCTTCTGTCTACTCCTAAGCTACAGGTAGGGCCCCTAGCCACACTCCCCTGCAAATGATCTTGCTCCCTATGGTCCCTCTGGTGGCTGCAAACTACAACTGTCCTCTCTGCCCTGGAACTGAAACCAGGGACTCTGCTCTCCTGCAAATGCCAGCAAGGTCCCCACTCTTTGCTACTGTACTTATGAGGTGTGTGCTAGCTCTTTTTCCCCTCAGCTGCAGGCTGAGACATGTCTGGTCAGCACAGCTGTGTGTGGTGTCCCTCCACAGTGGAAGATCCTTTAATCTTTTCATAGTTCGTTGTCAGACACCCACACTGTCTACAAAGTGAAAGTTTCTAAGACTAAGGCTGCCTCTCAACTCAGCTGCCCCCATGACCTGTTGTTTGTTGGTTCTACAGAGTAGGCCCTGGATGTGTTTGCATTTCACTGGGCCATACCTCAGTTCAGTCTTTCTTGGGGTCTTCTCAGATTGTCTTAGGAAGACAACTACTTCACACTGTGTTTATTCTTGCTGCTCTGAGGCAATGTTCTGTCTTTTTTGTGGAGGAAATTTGGAGAGCTGAAAGTTTTCTGACCTACTCCACTATCTTCTCAGAATCCTCTCTCACACAATGATGTTTTTAAATGGATAATATAATATAGAATTACAAAGGAAGGCAATTGAAGTAGTTATCAAAATATTAAAATAAAATGTGTTCATAGACCCCAGGTCAGTTACACCCCTGTTATAAATGATGAAGTTATCATTACATCAAGTCAAGAAATTATTAGGTTGCTTTGCTTTAAGCCAGAAAAGAATATTTAAAGAAAACCAGATAAATAGGTGTGGTTGGGATGGGGGGGGGGGTACCTGCTATCTATAGTGTATTTCGACTTTGCTTCTATTTCTGTCTTTGTTGATTTTTACCACAATTTTGTCCACTAAGTTTCCCTTTCTTCAGTTCCTCATTTTCTTCACATGTATCTTCTCTGTTTCTTTTTAGTAAAGTATATCCTTTCACAGCCAAACTCCTGTCATGAGTACCATTCCTTTGAGTCACAGAGAAATTTTTATGAACAAATTCTCTTCCATGTGTGAAGATCTTGTTTTGTATCCATTATTTTGGACATTTGTGTATAGATATTTGAGAATAAGAGTTTTATTTTTGCCTCTTTAGATATTGTCTGTAAGTGGTGGTTATAAGTTGCATCATAAGGTCTGATGATTTTTTTTTGTTTGTTTTTCCTAAAATATAAAATGTCCTGGAGGACCAAGAAAGTTGGATGACTGATTTTTTTTTTTTAATGTCGTGGTTGTATGCTCCTGGAATGTAACAGGTTTGTCTGTTGTTGTGCCAGGTTGACAGATTGACCAAATCAGCATCCCACATGGTTGTCAGGAGTGGGTAAGATGTTCACCAACCACCACTGTATTTCTCTTTATTTTTTGTCCATTACTGACCGTACTCTGTGAGACCCCATCATTGTGTTTTGGTGCTCAAGGAGCTGCTTCTTTTCAGATACAATCCACTTCCTTCCTCTTCAGCAAGAACCTTATAGCTGTTATATCACTGCAAATGTTTGAGTGATCCTTTTTTCTTTCTTTTTCTGTGTCACATTCTTCTTTCCTCCAGTCTCCTGACAAAATTCCCCTTTGCCATTCAAAAAAATGCTTTCTTGTATTTCCTTTTTGAAGTATTAACATTCTTTCAGGGAATAGTTGATTATCTGTAATAACCTGGATGCTACAAATGCATTCTTTTAGTACTTTTTGGAGAAACCAATCTCTTAGAGATGGACGTGAACTTAATATTCTGTACATATGTGGATCCTGCTTGTTGCTAGCAAAAAAGCAAGTATTAAATTTATTCTACAGATTATTACACAATTTTCCTTGCCCTCTACAGTGGTTTGATGCCAGTTTATGTATCTTTTTACTTATTTGGTGGCTTTCTACTCTGGTACTTATTTGCTACTCTTTGTGGACATGTTTATGGGGTCAGTTGCTGGTGGCATTTTAATATTTTTTTCTAGTCAGAGCTTAATTTTTTTAGATTTTCCTTTTTATAAGTTAATTCAATTTGTTAAATTCGTAGCTAACACTTTTCTTGCCACAATGCTAACATTGTGAGAGTTTAGGCCAAAAGCAAAATAACAGTGGCCTAATTAAATCTACAGTCCTTTGTCTGTCCTTGTCAGATATATTTCCCTGACCACTTGACTCTCCAAATTCTGACATAGCAGATTTACTAACCTGGCAGATCCATTAACAACACAAACATTCCTTTTACTTGGTCAAGGAATTTGTTCCCCTGTTCTTTTTTGTGTATAATGGTATCAATATTGGTGACGAACTCAAGTGTCAAATACTTATTATTAGCACTGGTAAGTTGGCCATGGCAACCTATGAAATGAATGTCAAATTGGTCTTCAGGTAGTAAACTCAAGATACAGAACAAGACTTAAATTTTTTGGACATGACCAAATTTTTTGTTGCTTGACTATGCATATTTGTTACGAAAGATTCTCTCTGTGCCCCCTTGATGGAAGAGTTTGGGAGGGAAAGAAAAAATATTTTTGTATATTTTTTAAAAAGAAAATCTTAAGGGATTAATTTTTTTCAAGACATTTTAAAGAATAAAATACAGCAGCAGATCAGAAAAAAATCATGGCCTAGTTGAAAGAATTTTGATATCTTATTAAGCTGTATATTTTTATTATTATAAAGTCTTAATGAAAGTGATTTAATATAAAAAAATGAAAACAGAACAGGCAGACTTTTATAGTATCATAGATTTTACAACTAGAAGGAACCTTAGCTATCACTTTGTATAATGACTTCATTTTACAAATGGGGAAGAAATGAAGGCCCAGAGAAGTTGTGATTTGCCCAAGGTCATACAGAGTAAGGGGAAGAGCTAGGATTTGAACATAGGTCTTCCTTTTCCTCACTCAGTTCACGAACTAGTTCCTCTGGTAGACCATATCTTCACAATAACACAGTTAAGTGAAAGATAAAAACTCAAGAACTTTTATATTTGTTTGATTATAAAATTTTCTCATGGAGTCAAATGCTAAATGCAGCTTTAAGGGCTGTTCTCCCGCAAGAGGTCTTCTACACATCTTTAAATCATACAAAATTTGTCATGAGTTGCAGCACCAAGAAAAGTTTGTTTTCTTAAGACTAACAAGCAAGAAATAAAACTATATGTTTGCCAAAGAGTGTTTGCTATTATCATGGAAGCTGTCCTACTAAAAGTTCAAATTTTAATAAGAGGTTCTCAGTGGATGGTAAGTTTCTCCATATGCTGCTGAAAGCTCAATGATATATCACAAATTATCTGACCCCAAATTAAGAAACAAAATTGACCTAAAGGTAAGAAAGATATAAATGATCTTCTTGTATTTAGGAATTACCCACAAGTAAAAGATGGCATCCAAAAATAGCATCCAGAAAATGTAGGATTAGAAAAGAAGAAGGGTTACCACAAATTGCTTCTTTGATAGTTAATATGGTCTCACATAAACTAGGGAGATACCACTCATAGGAAAGCAATTAAAGTCCAGTATTCCTATTGATTGTCAACTCAAAAGTATTGAATGAAATATTAATGAAATTATTGACAATTAAAAAGATCACATAGATTAGATTGGAATTATGTAATGCAAGTTTGTTTCAATATTAGGAAAATTCTAACCATAGTAGACTATATTAATAACAACATCAACCAAAAAAACCCCAACACTGTTAAAATCGCGTGATTAGATTAATATGTAGAAAAAGTATTTTTTAACAAAATATGATGCCCATTAATTTCTGTTCAAAATTTATTTTAAAAAAAAAGTAATTGAGCTTTCTTAAGGTAAATATCTAATACTAAGAACCAGCATTGTATGTAATGGAGATCCAATAGAATCTCTTGCAGTAAAATCAGAGAAAATCACAAATGTCCATTGTGACCAGTATTATTTGATATAGTATTAGAAAAGCTAGTTATGGCAATAACAAGAAAAGCAATTGAGAATAAGAATAGATTAAAAGAAAAAACTCACTTTTTGATTGAGTATATGTTAATGTATTTTGTTTTTCTGTCTTCTCAGTTGGAGAAGGGTGGTTGGGGTATAAGGTTGAGAAAGCATATTATTTAAAACAAATAAAACGATAAATGAATAGGCTTGTTATTTCATTCTATTATACAGAGCCTTCTGATGTATTTAAATATGTGAGATATTTTTAGGTACAGTATTTTAAGATACAATAACTTATAGGCTTTTGCTTACTGTTGTACTTAAATATTTTTTATTGACCTTGGAATATTTGTTTTGAAAAATCACTACTACCATTTTGTAGATTTAACCATTTCTAACTCCATCCAGTCCAAATCTTAGCATATCATATTTTACTATATATAAGAGAGTAAAATCAAACATCAAGCCATGATAATAGTTGCGCCTTTCTCTTCTATGCGAGATAGATAGAACTGAAAAAAATGGAATTATTTTTAAATAACAGCCCTTAGAATCTGTACAGATTAGGTTGAATCTCACACTGTAAACTGGTGTTGTCAACTCTTTTTAATAGTGTGGAATTGTATTTTATTATTTATGTTACGTTGATTATTACATGTTTATACATACATTTACAGGTATTGTATATGGTATATCTATCGTATGTATAAAATCTTCCTCTTGTCTCCATTTTTAGGTACCACCACACCAACCAGGTCCTCCAGTAGTTGGTACACTCCAGCCACCTACTTTCACACCACCTTTAGGAATACCCCCACCTGGTTTTGGTCATGGAGTTCCTCCCCCTCCTCCTCCACCATTTTTACGCCCAGGATTCAACCCAATGCATTTACCACCAGGTATTGCTAACTCATTTAAGAAAATAATGCTAACTTAGACCTAGAATATAGTGGTACTCAGTCAGGGGTGACAGATATATTATAAAGCGGCAGTGTTGTCATGGACAGAACATTAGAGTAAGAGTCTTGGCTCAGCTATATTTCTTTGGTACTTCAAGATCTCTTTGATGTGGATACTCTTTAAGTCATAAATTTCCCTGACATCTTTCACATCATTTCTGATGGTGTTGGTAATATGCTACAGCATAATTGGACCAATTATTCATCTCTCTCTTATGATTTGTATTACTATTTTGATATTTTTGGAATTGTTGTATTGCACTCGTGGTCATATTTCTTCCATGGGGTGAGGAGTTTTAATTTCAGGGAACAGATTGGAGTTGTTGAAATCACTTTATAATTCCAAAATTCAGTGTAGCCTGAACAACTTTCATTCTCCAAATCTGTGCCTAGTTCATTGTCCATCTGCTGTGCTAATAGGCCAACTCAAAGGGCCAGCTGTTCAATTATGTGGTATAACAATATACATTTTTCATTCATTTTGTTTTACTATGCAGATTGATAGGTTACTCTCCCACGAATAAATTTGTATTTTACTGAGGAGTCAGTATCGTATTCTGAGACTTGATGTACTCAGTACAGTGTCATCTACAAATAGGAGCAGCTGTGACAGATTTCATTGTCTATGAGGATTCAGACTCAGTGCAGGATGTTTTCCATAGTTTTACCACAAAGTACAAATTGTGATTATTTTTCTTTTTTCTAGGTTTTCTTCCTCCTGGACCCCCACCTCCTATAACACCACCAGTGTCTATTCCTCCTCCCCACACTCCACCAATAACCATCCCAAATTGTAAGCATTTTTTTCCTTTGTTTTGTGTGTGAGTGAGTGAGAGAGGGAGAGAGTGAAAGAGACAACAGAGGGCATATAGGACGTCAAGGTATTTTATCAAATAAGGAGGGGAATCAGCTATTCAGCTTTACATGTTGATATGATTATATTCCTTAGCTACTATCGCTGGTATAAATGAAGACACTACAAAAGACTTATCTATTGGAAATCCCATTCCAACAGTGGTGTCTGGGGCTAGAGGAAATGCCGAATCTGGTGACAGTGCGAAAATGTATGGGTCTGCTGTTCCACCTGCTGCGCCTCCTGTTACCCAGCCTGTTTCACTTCTTGGTGAGTTAATTTTTTTATGTTCTTCCCATTTGGGTTTTTCAAAGAACAAATAAATGAAAACTAATACCTTTATATAGCTCTTGAAAATGGGAAGATGTTTCATGAAGCAGAAAATCCTCCTGATTACAAAAATAATTAAATTATTTTAATTAGATTATTTTTGTAATCCTCTTGGTGTTTCCCTTTTCATTAGCCAATATGAATTCTTACTCTTCACTAAAAAAAATTGTTTTTCATTAGCATAAGACAAGAAATTAAGGTTTTTTGTCTTGGGTGAAGTATGGCTGTGCCAGTCTTAACTTTTTATATCAGTATTTAGATTGGCCATTATATTTGCAGCATTAGTCATAATGATACAGAATTAGGCATTGACATAACCTCATATCTGTCGTAGGATTATGAGAAACATAGCTTTTGTTATATACATTATGGTTAAGTATATAACTTAAGTATATAAATATATAAACACCATACCATTCCCACCCAGTGAGTTATACAGATAAATCACAATTTTCAGCTTAAATTATTTTTGTGCTGGTTGTTATGAATTAAAAATGGTGAAACCATTTTTGTTATGGAAAATAATCTTTATTACATATATGTCCTTGTAAATACAAATGTTGGTTAAATATAGCCAAAATTTAGCTGTGCTAATGGGGAGACTAATACTGTGAATAATCCAAAAGAGTTATTTATATTCAATCATTAAATGTACACTTGTCCCCAAAGTCTGATCTTTTGCTTAAGGAAACCTATTGATCAATTTATATACATTTTAGGAGGTATGAAAAAATAGTTCAGCCTACTATTAATAATTTGCCAGTGGTTAATACTTCATTGAATTCTTTTTCTTATGTTTATTTTTTTAAAAAATGATTAGCATGCCTTACTTTAAAAGGTGAGAAAAAGCACTGGCCTTAGTCAAGAGATAGGGATTCTTCTTGTCTGAGGTAAATCCCATAGGTATCTCAAACTAAACTGTCTTAGCTCTACTCACAGTGATTCAAATCATATATGACTCAAGTATCTCTTCTCTCAAATCCATCCTCTGTACTACTTCCAGAGTGATAGTTCTAAATCATAGTTTTTATGGTGCGCCATACACGTCTGCTGTTTGTAATACCAAATATAAATTCTTGTGTTTGACATTTAAAGTTCTTTATAACGTAGAGCCAACCTACCTTTTCAGGCTTATTATATATTACTCTTCTTCACTCTGAGATCTGGCCAAATTGGCCTTCTTGCATTTCCTGTTTCCATGGCCAGAATGCTCTACCTCATCACTTTAGTTCAAATGCAACTGTATGAGTCCTTTCCTGATCCCCCAGCTGCTACTTGTGCGCCTCTTCTCCCCGCCCTGCCAAAATACCTTACATTTGTTTAGTACATATTTATAAGTGTTTCTCTAAAATGTAAGCCCCTTATGGACAACTGTTTTGTTTATTTTTTTATCTCCAGTGCCAAGTGCAGTGCCTTGCAGATAGTATAAACCTAATAATGCTTGCTTCATTGATTTATAGTGAAAACTTGCTGATTAATGTTTCCACATTACAGTAACCTGCAAAATTTTTAAAAGAAAGCTGCTCAATTGGACAAATGCCTTTTTTATTAACAAAGACCCTTAACAGTATAAATACACAATTATATTTTCCTATTTTTGTCCCATTGATGCGTAATATTCTGAGTCACAGAACCTAAATGTACTTTGTAAATCTGAATGGCGTTCTATGGATTGCAACAATACTTCTTATTTGGTATTTTTAGTTACCAAATGGCTTGAAATGTCTTTGCTTAAGGGAATACAGAGAGTCTGCCTACTTCAATGGAATAGCTGCCCAAGCCTGACCAGGTAGTTTAGTTGCCACAGGACCCCTCAAGCTATTGTCCTATCTTTTCTCCATTTCTTAGTCAGACTTGTTGAAAAGGTTGCATATACACTTTACCTCTTCTCTCCTTTCTATTCTCAATCCTTTGTATTTTCACTTCTGACTTTATTATTCAACTAAAACTGTTTTCTCTAAAGGTACCGTTGATCTCTTAATTGCCAAATCAGATTATCTTTCCCAGTCATCAGCCCTCTCAATCTGTCTACTGTATTTTAACTCTGTTGACTGCCCTCTCTTCTTGGATACTTTCTCCTTTCTAGGTTTTCATGACACAACTCTGTCCTAAGGAATTCTTCTCTTCCTTTTCTAACTAATTTTCAGTTTCTTTTGATGGCTTCTCTGTATCACACCCCAGCTATGGGTGTTCCTCAAGGATTTTGTCTTAGGCCCTTTTTATCTTTATACTCTTTTGGTATCCTCATCAGCTCCTATGAGTTTAGCTCATATGTTGCATATGACTTCTTAGATCTACATACCTAGCCTCAGTGTATCCGCAGAGCTTTAGTCTCAGGTCATCAGTCGCCCAGCATGCATTTTAAAATGGATGTTCCATGGACATCTTAAACTCAACATATGTAACATGGAATTCGTTTTCTTTTCCCCACAAATTTTCCCCTCTGCCAAACTTCCCTATTTCTCTCAAAGACACTACCATCCTTAAAACTTCCCATGTTTGTACCTTTGGCATTATCCTGGATTCCTTACCATATATATCCAATCAGTTACCAAATTCCTTTCTAACTTCACAGTTATCTTTTACTTCCAGTTCCTCTCCCCTCACACAGTTACCACCCTAGTTCAAATTCTGTTAATCATTAACCTCTCGTTTGTGTTTTTGCAATAGCTTCCTAAACTTTACCCTACCTCATCTCATACTATTTGAATCTGTCCTACAAACTGCTGCCAGAGTAATTTTCCATAAATCTGACCATGAGATTCCCTATTCAACAAACTCCAGTGGCTTCCTATTGAGGAAAATTAATAGAAAGCTAAAGAGAAAAAGATGACATTCAACTTTAAATTAAAACAGTTCCAACCTAACCTATTTAAGCAAGTTATTGATTAAAAAAATACGATGGTCAAATGAAAACTGATTAATTTAGCATAAAAATGTAACCAATCTTCTCATTGGTTGTTTGAAACAAGGGACCCAAAGAACTTTAAAAGCTCTTTTCTTAGTCCAAACAAACAAACAAAATCCTATACAGCCTGGCCCAAATCTTATCTAAATAGTCTCATTGGATGTTACTCCCTTTCCTGTCTCTTGTGATCCAGCTAGATTGGCCTTCACCATCCACCTCCCATCTCCATGCTTTTGTTCTGCCTGCCATCACGTTCCTGCTCTTTCCTCACTTCTGCCTCATAAAGTCCCTCTCTTTCTTTGAGATGCAGCTCAGGCACCATCATCTTCATGAAGCCTTTCCCTATCACCTCAATTGCTACTGTCCTCCCTGTGAATATAAATAAACTTTATGTAAATACTGTATGTATTTTCATATGTATTTGTCTCTACCACTTGAATTGTGAGTAAGGATTGTTTTGCTCTTTATATTTGTATCCCCAGTGCCTAATATAGTGTCTGGTATGTTGTAACCACTTAATAAATACTTATTGATTGATTGATTCTTTTCCCCTCACTACTACTTGGGATTTCCTGGTCTTTCTCTTTTTTTACTGGCCCACTAAACTTCAATGGTAGGAGTGATGAGAATAAACCCAGCTTACTGTGCTTTTCTTCTGAAATGTAGATGAATCTAAATTTCAACCATTTTTCTACCCACATTCATTAATATCTACAGTTTTTCCAAATAGGAACTAAGAAAAAAGAAGAGATGAGGCTATAGAAAGAAGAATATATAATGTCATTTGCTACTAGCATTAAAAATTCTCAGGAAACCTCAAAAGGACTGCTTCAGAGATAAGTAAAAAAAACAAACAAACAAACAACTGTGAGACCAGTTGTTACTCTGTGGACCAGGGAGGAAAGAAACCGGGCTCAAAAGCAGTAGGTAGTAGCATTGAAGAAGGAAACAGGCAGTCCTTCTCTTCACATCAGGCTATAGACTCTCTATAGAATCGATTCTTGCCAACTACACCCTTTCCCCTCAAACTCATTCTGTTCTACCTTCTTAATACTTTACCGTGTTGGATGGAGTTTTTGTCTCATCACATGGAGCCACCCCCAGTGGTTTGGTATTGAGGCAATCCCAATTCTCACAAACAGTGGTAAGGAGAGAAGTAGTCTTGGAATGCTATGGTGGAACTCAAACATGTTTAAATTTGCTGTAATAACATGGACCCTGTTACTAAGCCGTATGACCGTAAGGGAATCATAAGGTTACTCTGTGAGCCTCACTTTTCTCAACTATAAAATCTTATATCTCCTGTGACTTAGTATGTGATCTTCAAGAATTGTTATGACTAAAAAAATTCGTCATCTTATACCCAAGTTTGTAACATGTTTATCTGAATTTAGCTGATTGGTCATCAGATAAGACAGTCCTTATTCACATCCAACTTTGAAGACCCTGCATCTTGGTCTAGTACCCTGCAAAGTCTGCTCTAACCTGGCTTAACCACTGAGAACCCATATCACATGTAGGTAATAGTGAAGCATTGGAGTGGGACTTGAGGGGGAAAAGTTGGGGGTTTTTCGTTTGTTTTTTAATTTCAATTGTAGAATGCTATGTAAATGTGAAAATGTAATAGTAATGATCTAATACTGTGTTTTAGGGTTTACTGACAATTCATAATTGAATCCTTAGTAGACAGTATTGTAGGGGTTTGTAACCTTGTTTGTGTTATGGACCCCTTTGGTAGTCTGGTGAAGCCTATGGACTCCTCCTTAGATTAATGTTTTTAAATGCATAAAATATATAGGATTACAAAGAAAATCAGTTATTGAAATACAGTTATCAAATATTTTAAAAAGCAGGTTTACAGATCCCAGGTTAAGAGCCCCTGGTCTATAGGATAAAATACAAACTACTTACCCCCATATTTAAGATCCATCTATCTCTGCAACCTCCTGAGCCTTGAATATCCCTTTGTCCCCTTATATCATTGGTGATTCCTCCTAGTGCCTTCATTTGGGGGAAAGGTCCAGAATGTCCA